GAGGTTTTAAGCGATAGATGTATTTTATTTTCTCATGGATCTCACATATTGTTTAATTACTGAGAGAAATGACAAAAAAAAAAACGACTTTCAGATTTGATAATTGGAAAAATACACTTTTTTTATTTCCGTTTGTTTTATTCTGATTTTGTTTTTATTTTATGTGAAATTTATGTAGACCACAATGACATCAAAACATTTATGTATTGCATAATTTAATGTTTTCACAGACATGTACTTTTTAATATCCTGATCATAATTTCTTAATTTTTATCCAAATAATTTAAGGCAGGATATCTAACAAAACTGAATCTCACTTGCAGTTACTTGAAGAGAAGAGCTATGAAACAGCAATATATTTTCAATTTCCTTTTTAAGATATTGAACAAGGTCCTTTTAAGCAGGACCTACGATTTCTTTTCCCATTTGTCTGATGTTTAAATGTATGAAAGTACCATAACAGTAAAGGAGGTTGAAGTCAACCCACTGCTGTTATGCCTTTGATCTCTGGTTCTCCAGTGCTTGCTTTATTCATGAAAGCTCACATTAGGATTAGGGTTAGCTTTCAGAAAGTTGAGTTGAAAAGTGAGTTTCATGGTCCCAAAAGAGTTGTGGAGCGAAGCTGTGTTTATATACTTCATTACTTCATTACTTCATTTTGTATGTTGCTTTGTGTGTTACCTGTTGTTCTGTCTGTACAGCACTTTGGTTGGCCTTGTCGCTGTTTTAAGTGCTCTATGAATAAAAGGGTATGGTATGTGAAGCACAACATCTCATACCATTTCCAAAACATGGCAGATGCACGGTGTTTATTTTCCAATGCAAAGTTGCTGTTGATCCTCATTGATCTACTCTGTAATGGATCAGTTCTTGTTTAGGCCTTTAAATTCTGCAGTCGGGTGTTTTCATAGACTGCATGTCATCGGCACAAACCCAGTTTAACATTTTTCTGTGTCACTTGGTAAGGCTATGTTACTTCCTCGCTTGATGGAACAAAAACGCAACAGCAGTGGGTTGATGGTGATTGATGGCTCAATTATTGATTTATGAACAGACAAAGGCAGCTTAAATAGGGGGTTGTCTTCGCTGCTATGTATTAAAATATTTAATCAAAAGGGCCTATGTCTGAATTTATTCATGGTATTTTTAGATCTGCGGCGTTGGCATTTGGCTGTGGTGTTCGAAGCAAGTCTTAGTAAAGAGACAAATCTCTCAAATACATTATTTTGTTACGGGCAGACGACTTGGCACCAGAAAGTCGCGGTTTGATTCCCAGCCATTCCCACATGTCAACGTGTCTCTGAGCAAGACGCTCAATCCCTAATTTCTCCCTGGGTGTCCACTGCTCCACTTGGGTGTATCCCAGGTGTGAAGGGTTAAATGCAGAGAACTAATTTCGTCATTGCATGTTCCCATACAATGACGACAATCTCAGACTTCCCTTCCCTACTGGTGGCTTACAACAAAAAGTGTAACCACTGGGTTTGACGTGAATTCATTATTGGCTGCTCTGGGACTGAAAACCAGCTTGATTTATTTTTAAACTCAAGATAACAACTGTCTAAAAATCTTCAAGCCTAAACCAGTTAGACTGTTTGTGCAGAAAATAACAGTATTTTCTTTAAAGACTGTAAAATGATAATCCACATATACATTTAAAGATGTACATTGATGCACAGTTTTTAAACTCAGGGTGTAAACTTTCACGCTTGACTACAAATCTGCTGTTTTACTTAAAGTGTTTTAGACAAGGAACAACAAATAAAAATTTAAATTCTGATTTTTGCCTGGGGCCGCTGGTGTTGCATACTTTAAGCAGATTAGTGAGTAGCCCTTTAAAGCCTTTCAACACAGTCAAAAAATATCCATGCTCAATTGGTTTTGTTGGTGACAGATTGGATCAGTCAAGCACATTAAGAAAGTACCCAGATAAATTCCTTATAGCAGCAAGAATAGCTTAGAATAGTCAGGTATAGGAAAAATTAACAAAACCAAGAAGACTACACCCAACAATCTGGATATTTACTGTGTTACAGAAGAGGATAAGAAATCTTAATAGTCAGAGGAGGTGCTTAGTTAGTCAAGAGAAAGAAGATGAGTGGGTGTGAAGGGAAACAAAAGATGTGGGAGCTGTTCATTCTCCTCACAGCTCGTGTACGGAGGAAAGTGCATGTTCTGCGTCTATTTAAAGATTTATCCTCAACACCACCTGGAATAATGTTTACCATGAGTGCAGGTGGCTCAGCATCAAATGAATCAAATCTTCCTCAATTGTGTTACACAAATAACTATTACAGCAAGTTAAAAAAAGTTATAACTTGAAGAACAATTTCTTTTATTCAACAGAAGTCATTATCATTATAGCTGTCTTAGAAAAGCAGCTGAGATCATTTGCAGCAGATTAGTTCTGAAGTGGATATTGTTCTACAGTCGGGAGGTCCACTTAAGGAACTGAGGACTGAAGGACTTTTACGCTTCTGTAATTTAAGATAGAGGGATAAAAATACATTTAAAAAAATCTGACAAATGTCTAGAGTTGGCACAATGACAGGCTCCAGGTTCTTTATTAAAATATCACGGAGTGCAGTTAATTGGCAATTCTTGATCCTGTCCTCAAACTGGTGTCAGGAGAAATGATACTTTTTCTCCGTCTTTCACTTTATTTCTGTGGTCTCCTTTTCTATGCGCTTTCACTTTCTTTTCCCAAGCAGAGGGACCGTGTATCTACCACCAAGATGACAAGCACAATTTCTCCATCTCACAGCCTCAAAAGAGCATACCTTCCCTGTGAAGCAGCATGAGCCAGATGGTAGCGAGGAAGTTGGGCTCATATCAGACATCTCAGTCATATAAATCCTTTTACGTTGTATCACTTGCTTCTGGATTTGTTGGATCTGGTTGTGGCAGTGCTTGTATAAGGCGTACAAGGAGAGAGAAGAGCAAGGCATAGGGAGTGCGATCAATGTGACGCTGAAATGAAAGTGCCAAGGAAAGATTTGTTCTTCCTTCTTTGCAAGAACACTTTCTGCTGTATAAAACGTTGTCATAGTCATTTTTTTTATCAGAGGTGCTGGAAGTAAACATGTACGGTTTCTAGGTTACAATTGTAGCAAGAGTTTTATGTAAGATTTTTGGAGTTTAATTGAGTATTTTACCACTTTTTGATTGTACCCTGCTGTTCAGCATCTTCTAGCTGAAGCAAAAAACCAAATACTGTAATATGTAACCGTGCTGGTATGAGAGAATGCAGCCTGCTGTGCAAAACTGTGAAAAATTATTTTTGCCATAGTTATATTTGCAATTAAATTATTTTATTAGACATCAAAGTTCATGCACAATCATCCAGGTATAAAATCCAATAATGATCAGTCAGGTCATCTGGACAGTTTCTTTGTTTTTTGTAGGAAGACGTTTTTCCCTCTATCCAGAGGACTTCATCAGTCTGAGGAGTCCCAAGTAAACTGTTTTCCCCACTAGGCAGTACACTCAGTACACACTTTAGTGGACCAGGAACTATCTTAAATCCCATCGTATCACCAGCAAACTGGTTGGTCCACTACAGGAGTACACTGCTTAGTGGGGCAAACAATTTACTTGGGACTCCTCAGACTGATGAAGCCCTCTGGATAGAGGGTAAAACGTCTTTCCACCAAAAAAAAAAAACTATCCAGATGACCTGACTGACCATTATTGGGGTATTTTATTAGACTTCTCATTTGAGTAGGCTTAAGTTTAAAAGTAAAAAATAAAATAAAAATGCTTCTACATAACAGCAGTAGTCATCAAATGTGGTTCAAAATCAAGCCGCTAATACTCTGCATTAACTTGTCCATGTGTGCAAAACAAATAAAAATAAATATCCGTTGTGTTTGTTCATATTTGATTGTTTTGTTTCCGCAGAACAATTAAGGTGGAGGTGTATGACTGGGATCGGGACGGCAGGTGAGTGTGACTGCCAAGATATAATGTTTGCATGTAGATGCTAGGGAGTTATTCCAAGACAACTGATGCATAGAATTAAAGCTCATACATACAAATGACAAGGTAACATATTTCATAAACATTTATACAAAAAAAATAATCTTAGTGCTTAATCCCAGTTTGTTGCGTTTTTTAAATTCTAACCCTTTCCGTGTTGTTTCCACTCTTTGTTTGCGTTCCCTTTGCTTCCCCAGCCACGACTTCATTGGGGATTTCACGACCAGCTACCGAGAGCTAGCTCGAGGGCAGAGTCAGTTCAATGTGTACGAGGTGAGGCATTCCAGCGTTGCCACAGTTCACAACATGTCTGATGACTCCTGAAATGTGGAGTCCCACGGTGACAGGTGTATGGGTCCTGTTTTTGAAGTGGATGGCGATGCCATCGTTTGACATCACTGATGCACTTTGAGTCTTTTCTCCTCCATGGATACTTTCTACTCCTGCAGCATAAAAAAAATACTTTTATAAAACTGTCAAAACCACCAACACGTTAAAAAATGTTTCAAACGACCTGTTTTTTTTTATTTTTATACATTTCAACTTTCCAACATGTCTCCCTGCCTTCCTCGTTTCGTTTTAAACTTCTCCTCCACAATTGTTTTTATCCTACTGCTGTCATCACTGGTATGCTGATGCATAGAGATTGATCTATTAGCTGTAGGATGAAACAGGATTATTAGGTGAACAATTCAGGGATTCGTTTGAAATTTGAATTATCCGAGTGTAACAGCTCGCACTAAAATCCAAGACTGAATCCCAGGGATGAAAATAAATGTATCCAAATCACTATTTATCTTGTGCTTAATGCAATAATGTCTTGGAAAATGCAACAGGTCTAAGATTGTAGCAATTTAGTCTAAGTTTGCCATTAATTTTTATTCAAGATTCAGAATGTGAGTGGCAGTTGAAATTCAAAATCTTACCAAAATAGAGGACTTGTCAATGCCTTCATGCCCCTGTGGTTTGGTGGCCTTCAGCGAAGGACAAATATCTGTCTTTTAGATGTCAGCTCCATTATACTGTACAGTTGAATCCTCTCTACCTCCCAGGGAGACTGAAAGGCCCTTTAGTTTTTGCATCACAGATTGTTCGGTGTGTCAGACAAATTGCCATCCCCTCTGTTAAATTAGGGCCTGTCACTTTCATGCCTTGCAGCCATTGAGAATTGAGGTAATGAGCTGAGACATCTTCGGTGTCTGGATTGGCATTTCTTTCTTGTTCTTGAGCTCCTCAAATGCTAGTAAATGTTACGATTGCCTATTAGGCTCTGTCTCACTCATCAATTAATTTGAACCTGAGAATCAGGTTTGAATGTTCAATTGTTCTCCATTTAATAGCATTTTAAACATGAATATGTTTTATGTGTAAGTGACTTGCATATGTGATCGAAGTGGGGTACGTTCCTCTTTGATTGACCTCAATTTGGAGAAATTCCTGGATTGACAGCTAGTACAAGCACAGTCAGGACCAAAGTAGATTGCTAAATACAACTCATGTCGCTAACGTTTCATTGCAGTTCATGCAAAACAACCTTTATGCGGATGCCAATTTCCAATTACACGATTATTAATAATAAATTTTATGGTTATTTAAAGAGCAATAAGTAACAGAAGCAGTTAGCAGAAGTTGCCCTTTCTTGGATGCTTCCATATTATTTCTGCCAGAGAACCCACCCAATGGTAAACTGACAGTGGTGTATTTAGTAAAATTGTATTTACATAAATCTTTGTGAACTTTTAAGATTTGAATTGTTTTGAGATCACATAAATCCATTTTAATGTCAGGTCTACTCAGACTAGTTAGTTTACCAATATGGTCCTATTGAAATTCTCTTTCTCCAAATTGAGGTCATTCATTGAGTTATCTACAACAGGTAAGATATTGCCCATTAGCTTTCCACAGACACTAAAACATCTGAGCTATCCCTGTAACTTATATATATGGTCAAACTTAGTGTCAATTGTTTGCAATGAATGTATATATTTTAGTTTGGTAGACTCTCTGCTTCCAAATATTCCCAGATAAAGTTTGTCTCACACAAGAAAATAGAGGTTTATAACACTAGGCTACTACTGTTTTATGTATGGACTAATTAAAAGCATTAAGTGGGAGTGCTAACGTTTGCAAGAAAGGTTTGTATCAAAGAAACACATGAGCTAAATTGTTACAAATCCAATTTACATGGTAAACAATTTTGCTAAAATGAATTTAAACCATATATTTTTGGGAAATTGTGACTTTGACACATTCTTAAGATTTACTATTTACTTATTAACTTTTTGTTATGAGTTTGGCAAGTTCAGCAGAAATCTATTTTGTTTGCACTTTTTAGTCAGTTTGTAGCCATCCACTGATTTTAGTTTAAATGATCCGTTAATATCCACAAAAACTTTAGAAAATTCACCACAAACAGTTGAACATTTCACAATATGGAATCATGGCTGGAGCCGTCCATCACCGGCCTTGCTGTGGCTCCAGACGTCTTCTCTGTGTGCCGACTCGACAGAACGGAGTCCCATCTGTAACACCTAATATGTTTATTGCTGCTGCACTTTGTGGCTGTATCATGTGTGTCGCTGCCTTGCCATTGTGGTTCACGTCAACTCAACGTTGCTCACTGCCTCTGCAGAAGTCTGTCATGCAACCTGTGTGGTGCTGTTGTGTGCAATATGTATCGTGCATTTAAGCAGCCTGCAAGTTATTGTTTCTACTGATTCATTCTACTTGTGCGAGGATCTGTGTGTTGTTTGTGTTTCTTGTGTCGTCTGTCCTGTCCTCCTCAGTGTCTTTTCCCCATGTGATCAAGTTCCTGTCACCTGTGTCTTGTTATACTTTCCCAGGTGCTTGTGATCATTCCCTTGTTAGTGTCCATATATATTCGTCATCCTTGCATCTTCTCATTTTTCCGTGGATTGTCCAGTAAGGTGTAGAGCTGCCATTTCTAACCCAAACCCGAAACCCGGCCTGGACCGACCCGGATTAGCCCTTTAATTACCGGTAATCCGTTGGATCCGGGTAGGGCTCGGAAAAAACAACTACGGGCTCGGTCCAGTCTGGGCCAGATTTATTAGACCCGAATGCAGCTCAAGTAAGGCGTCCTGTTCTGTTTTCCTCCGTGTCTCCTTGTTATTCACTGAAAGCAAGTTTTGCTGCCACGTCAGCCCCTTTGTTTATTTAAATAAATAGTATTTACTTTATTCCCAAGTTCTCCGAGTCCTGCCTGTATTTGGGTTCAAACAAGATGCAGATCATGATAACTTGCACTGTTGTATATCATGTTGTTTACTATATTTCTTTTGGACCTTGTAGATGTTGTATTTCTTTTTCACTTTTTGGTTCTTTGTTTTGTACTTTTGTTGCATGCTTTGGTATTTCTTTTGTTCTTATTCTTTCTTTCTTTCTTGGGCATACCAAGGTAGTTCTCATCCTGAGCATTTCATTGCATTGTTGACCTTGTGTTTACCTGCATATGACAAATAATAATAAAAAAAAAACTATACCACTTAGTGTCAACAAATAACCATGCCTGAATTCAAAACATCATTTATCCAAACATCACACTTCCTTTAGTTTTACCTTTCTTTAAGCCAAACTTTGATTTTGTGTAATACTGATAAGGTACTGATCTAAATAAAGCACTGAAATACTTAACCAGGACTTCATATAATCGGATCTGAATATAAGATCTTTTTATGTGGAGTTATGTGCATGCGTGGGTTTCTCGGGGCACTCCGGTTTCCTCCCACAGACCAAAAACATGCATCTATGTGTCCCTGTGATGGACTGGATGTTAGGAGTGCGCGGGGAACCCAGATGATATGAGACCCAGAACGAGGCAGACACAAGGGGAATACAAAATAACAGTGTTTATTATTTACAGTGAGATTAAATCACATCCACTGGCTGCTGGTCTGAGGCTCCTGGAAAGAGGGACGACAGGTTAATGGCTGTCCAACGGGGGAGGCTCAAGTTGATTTTAAGGAATGTGTTTTATCCTTACAGTCCAACCCGAAGGGAGAGCTGGTCCTTCAGTCCAAGGCGAGCGAGCAGCAGAGGGGAATCCAACAAAGTCCAAAAGGGGAACGAGGAAGGCTGGCACTGGAGGCAAAGAGGCACGAGGAACACCTGAGAGGCCTAGGATCCAAATCAGGTCACGAGGGAAATCCAAAGAGCACGAGGAACCAGGAAACTGGAAAAAAGAGCAGAAGGTGAACAAATTCTTTTCACCAAGGCATTTGCCTCACAACAGTATAATACCATAAGAGGTGATATGCTCCAGCGTTGAATCACACCGGACTGCAGCCTTAAGTAGATGGAGAGGCTCATCAGGCTGATGGCCGCCAGGTGTTGGTAATCAGCGGCCATCAGCAAGGCAGGCTGCAGGCAGTGGGATCCTTACACTGGAGACCTGTCCAGGGTGTCCCCCGCCTCTCGCACATTGAGTTCTGGACATGGGCACTGGTGACCCCGCGACCCAAAAAGAAAGAAGCGGGTAAAGATAATGGAGGCAAAAATGGATAGATTGAATTGGGCCGATTTGTTTCTCTATTTGGGGCTCTGAGATAACTTTTGTTGTGAAATTGTGTTGTTTATAATAGAATAGAATAGAATTCAACTTTATTGTCATTGCACATGTCACAGGTACAAAGCAACGAAATGCAGTTTGCATCTATCCAGAAGTGCTTAGCAAGAAAAATAAATTGGTAGATATATATAGTACAATATACAGTAAGTTGCTTTGAATAGGCTATAGATATAAATACATAAATGGAAGTAAATTGAGTTAAACTGCATTAAATTCAAGGAATACATGAACAATGTAAATGACCTGAAACTTCAAGCCCTCCTGAATGTTTAGGGCAGTTTGTCAACGCCACACATTATATTTAACACATAAAACTTTTAGAAAAATGTACCATGACCAGTTTAAATAAGTGTATTACACAAAAAAACATTTTGACCATAATAGAGGAAGGAAATCACAGGTTTGACAATGAGCTTTACATTCCACTTCTTCACTTCTTCTCCTCAGCAGAACCTCTTCCAAATGCAGTGCAGCCCTCATTAATACGCCGTGCTTTCTCTCCCGTTTGCAAATTAAAATGTCTCTGAATTAGCTAGTTTTAACCCATTTTAACAAGATTTCTTATTTTTACGTTACCTTTGGCTCATGCTTATTTCTTTTTAGGTGATTAATACAAAAAAGAAAATGAAGAAAAAGAAATATGTCAACTCGGGAACGGTGAGTACGGCTCAAGATTTGACCTTAAAAATGTAATTTTGTCTTCTTCTTTTAAACACAAATTATTATTTCTTTTGTTTGTTTTTAAGATCTCCTGAATTCTTGTGCAACTGTTGAATATTGGACCTTGGATTTTTCTCAATATTTAATCACTTTTAAGTTATTTAAACCATGTGGGAACAAGAAAATAATTGATCTTTATTGATGAAGTAGTTCGGAGATACATTGTCTTCTTATGTTATTTGATTTATGTCTTTTGGGATATGGGACGGTGGCGCTGGTTGATATAAACAGTGGAAAAACACCTGATGGTAAACTGTTGATGATTTAGTTAAAGATACTAAAAATGGCCGTGCCAAACATGTACGCAGGACTAATAAAAGAAAGCATTAAAACTCTGACAAACTCTAAAGACATCAGTGAGCTGACTGACAGCAATGACCATTTGAGATACCAATTTTCAGCGTTCACAGCTTTCCCAACCGTGTCAGCAGGAGCAGGTAATGCATATAAATGCATCTCATCTTCTCTTCAAACGTGTCCTCTGGCACTGCAAATATTTCAGTCATCCAAAAAGCGGTTTGCTTTTATTCTTTCACCATGTCAGACGGCGAAGTGCTGAATTAAGTCAATACGAGGAGGTGTAGGACGTGTTGGCAGGAAAACATCCATACCAATTGAGTAATCAATTCTTTTTCCTTCTCTTCGACTTCCAGGTGACCCTGCTCTCATTCTCTGTTGAGTCAGAATTCACCTTCTTAGATTACATCAAAGGAGGGTGAGTGGGAATAACCATGGGCAACCTTCAAGAAACCATCAAATGGTCTTTTTCTCCCAGCTGTGTTTATGGTCCAAGACCAGACAACATCCAGACATTTACTTGTACACTGTTTTCATGTATTTATCCTCCACACAGGCAGCAAAGAACAGGGAAGTCTTTGCTTTTCACTGTTAGACATACTCAAGTGAAAATCTTTGCCATTACCAGACATAAGCTGCAGAAAATAATATGTTTTGGTCAAGTTATGAGAAGAATGTTCATACTTTTAATCATGGCCATATTGGATAAATTATAAAACTATCAAACTAATTTAAAAAAATTGCATGTATACAAGTAGAAAAGAGCATAAAGCAGCAATTGTTGTATGCCGTCGCATGTTTGCCAGGGAATCTGTAGAGAATTAGTTGTTGTATTCACACACGAGGCTCATTTAAAGATTTTCTGTTCTGAGCGTCAGGGAGCTGATGGGCAAACTCACAGTGCAGAAAGTCTGCTGAATCTGACGCTCGTCTGTTCCAATGCAGTCTGTCTGGAACATGTGCTTATTCTAAGTTACAGTGCATGTGTGAGAAGAGCCGGTATCATATCTTTTTACAAAATGATTGTAGCCCTGGTGGGTAGAGTAGTTAAAAAATAGGTTTTTGTTTATTGTGGAGTTTGTTCTTCGATCAGAACTCTATAACAATAAACTGACACTGTTAAATGTTTTAAACAAGAAAACTGTAAGAAACAAAATTGTACTGAACTCTGCTATTTACAGTGGTGTTTGAAAGTTTGTGAAGGCTTTATAATTTTTTATATTTCTGCATAAATATGACCTAAAACATCATCAGATTCTCACACAAGTCCTAAAGTAGATAAAGAGAACCCAGTTAAACAAATGAGACAAAAATATTATACTTGGTCATTTAATTATTGAGGAAAAGTATCCAATATTATATATTTGTCGGTGGCAAATCTATGTGAGTCTTTGCGTTCAATATCTGGTGCCCCCCCCAATTTCTAACGCTTACGTATTTTTGAGGTACTATTTGCAATGTTATTGGAAAAGTCTGGTGATTTTTGAAGGGATGTTTTGACAGATGGTTATCAATACCCTTATATTAGTGAATGCAGCATTATTTTACACCTTATGACAATGTTGAGAAAGAGCTGAATTAAAAGCCTCAAAAACAACATTTAACACACCCTGACTTGGCCAGCCATTAGAATAGCATGACAGAAAACCTCCGATCTTTTTATTCTATACTCTGTGTTTCGTGAATGATGTCACTACAAAAGTCCCTTGATTAGCGCGGGGGTTACATTCCAGACAGCCTCGCAATAGGTGAAAAATCACAAAGTAGGAGCGTTATACTATATTATATATATATTTATATATATATAAAGGCTTTATAAACCCTTCCCACAACCTTGCAATGTTCTAAACTCTTAAACCTACTTAATTTTAACTGCAGAATTTTATATGGGTACTCACCAGCTCTGCAGAACAACAGCTTGGTTCCGGTCAGGCTCGGTTCCAGTTCTGCAGACCTACCCTACAGCGACGAAGCCCACCACCTCATCCAGGTTGATGTGCACGTGGATAATTGAGCTTCAGGATTATTTGCGACTTTCCTGCCAGTTCTGTGATCTTAATGCACTGGAGATAAATCATTACTTCTGACTTTGCGTTGCAAAACTATCCCTCCATTTTGGCAGAAAGCAGCAGCTAGCACTGTTGGCTTCTGGGTAGTGTAGTTCTTTTGACTTGCATTACAGTATAAGTTTATTGAAAGAAAACTACAAAATGGCGGCGCCTGCCCAAAGTATTTTTTCATTAACTTTTTATCCCGTATCGTCCCAATTACATGAGTAATATTAAAGTTGACAGTCGTGTGTTGTGTACAATCTTATGTTGAAAAACTGTGACAGAGCGAGTCCGTGAAAGTCAAACCACTAAGTAACGAAGGACCACTGTACTGAGCAGACATGCTGATGAAGCGGACTAATACATCCAACAGCCACAAGACCTCCTGTTTAATATAGATGTTTAATGAGTTAACGGTAAACTTTACAGAGGCACTTGGACTCCAGATTAGTTACAGCACTGGATGTGGATCCATTGCCCATCACAGGTGAAGTGCGTCTTGATCTCTGCTGTCTAATTCCAGCAGGCAGGCTGTCAGAAGGTTTGATTTTCTGTGGCAGAGCAAAGTGTGACAGATTTAGCTGAACGTTCTTTGCTTTGCTTGATTTATGATAGAATGAGCTCAAGATTTAGTGACTTCAGTTAAAGAAAAAAGATATCTATCATCCTCATCTGTCTGCCACCGAACACTACCCTGGCACTTACTGGGCAGGAGTTAAATATTACCAGTACAGAGGTTCCTGGTCGTTAGAAAATGAATAAATGCCAGCCATTACTAGGAATTGCACGTCTTTTTTTCTCCCACCGGCTGGTTCAGCTCTTTTCTGTGATGCGTTTCTGTTTTGATTTGTTTTGTTGCGGGGAAAATGAACGCTGGTGGCATTTACGCGTCGCGACAAGGAGTGTAATCATGAAGGCACAAGTATAATTTGTCTATTGAAATAAATCCAAAGCGCTGGGTAGTTTGAGGTGAAATGAAGTGACGCCGGGATGTTGATTTTTCTCACTCTTGAACGCTACAGCACAGACACAGAAAACATGAATATAGTTGAACTGTAGCGAGGAGACATTTTTCTTTATTGATCATAGTTCAGAGCCTTCTTGTCAGTTTAAGGGTTTGTTTACCTGTGTAAATAATACCTGTTTTAAATTTGGAAAGGCCTGATCGTAGAAATTCTATTAAAAGTTATGAGTTCATCTTGGAGACCATAGTAATTATGTTAGAACAACACAAAAAGACAGTTAGACCAACCAAAGAAATATCTCCTACCAAGTGTCAAAACGGATCAATTTGAAGATGTAAAAATGTCAACGAAAGCAGTATTTTTGTTATTCTGACCTTTAGCTCAAAACACAGTGAAACGATGGAAAAAGCAAAGTGGAAAAACCCAACCTGCTTTTTTTTATTATTCAGGTGTGGCAAAACATTAAATTTTGAATTAATCAAATAAAGTTTAATTAATGCTTAGGTTAGCGCGGTCAGGCTGTGTCCTATTCTCTGTCCCCACACCAAGCTGAAAGGTTAATGTTCATCTTTACCACGTTCATTTGACGATCAGTCTTTCACTCTTCTCTCTGGAGGCTTTCAGAGATAATGAGGGGCTGTCGTTCTGAGCCCCTCGAGGCCTCAAATTGCTGTCGTAACTTAACAAGAGGAGAGGAAAGCCTCATCAGCATGGGGAAATTGGATTATGATTTGCTCTTAAGTGCTCCATCAGTTTAATTACTTGTTACCTGCTCTGCCTCGTGCCTCAGATATAAATCACATCATCTCCTGAATCTTATTTGATGGCTCATTGAGGGCTCTTTTTGTCTTAACCCTGTTATCGTGATAGAGTGATTATATCTGTATTTGGTGACATGTTTCAAATATGTTAAAGAAAAATTGTTCTTGTTGCGTCAGATTTCTTCCAGTATGTGCAGGGATTTCATGAACTGTGGCATGTTGTTACTGCTGGCTGGTGTTTGTAGTTAATTTTTAAAATGTCCTCCTCTTCAATTCTCTTCCAGTACGCAGATCAATTTCACCGTGGCCATCGATTTCACAGCATCTAATGGTGAGTGATGCAAACTGTGCTCTTTGACTGCAGCATGTCCACTTTCCAAATCCATCACTCAAACACATGAAGGCAGTGCAGAAACTGCACACAGACCGGGCCCGATAAACTACAGGCTAATTCTGAGATTTTGTTAGTTTTTAATGTTCAGTCACTACATTCATTATATGAACATTTATTTATGGTACAAAGTTTAACACTCATATTGAGAGTGATCAAAGTTTTTGCCCTAAATTTGAGAACTGACACAATCTTTTATTGCTGCTTGTCTTGTCAAAAAATAACAATAAAAATAAACGCTAGCTAAAAGCTAAAAGAAAGCACAGGCCAAATGTAGCAAAATGCTTGCTAGAAGCTTAAAGTAGCAAAAACACTAGCTAAAAGCAGCTAAAGGGTGCCCAAAAACTATGTGACAAAGCTTTAGCTAAAAGCTAAAGGTTCTGTCAGATGTGACTGGACTGAAAAGCTAACCGCTAAGAGTGGGTCCAAGATTAATTTGGATCACTGTCCTCCTAATAAAAAAAAAACATCCAAGCTCAAAAATGCAAAAACTCTTTATGGAAACACTTTTAAAAATGTTTTCACGACTGTTCATTTTTCATCACAGAGTTGTTTCAAGACGGCAGCAGTTCACTTTGTTCTTGGCCCCGTTTGGACTAGTTGTTAACTCGGCAGTCCAATGAGAAATAAAGTTTCTCAAAATTAAAGTTGTTCCGACATGTTAATTATTCATTACCTTTCCTTAGAAACCCACTTCAAAGAATCCAAACTATGGTTTTAAAGAGTTTCTTTGTGACAGAATGGTCTGTTATAGGTGGGCTTTAGGATAATTTCTAAAATATGTTGTTCTTCAATATGATAGTCATCCTTCCTATATTCACGTCTTATTTTGACATTTTTTATGCTTTTCTGTTAGTTTCAATGCATTTTTCATTCAACCTTTATTTAAACAAATAAATCACATTGAGCCTCAAAGACTCATTTACAAGTGAGACCTGTTTGGTCAGACAAAAACTGGTTAACTGGACACATGTAGGAGTTGGAGCGAAAAAAAATTCCTATCAGACTTTTTTCTTGGCTGAGAAAAACCTCTAATATTGAAAAAACTCCTCGCACAAACGAGCACATATTTACGTAGACATTCTGCATCAGAGACGAGAGCGGTCAACAACGCTTATAGATGCTCTCGAGGTCACTGTAATCAGTCAATGTCCTCCGGTGAGATCCATAAACATTCTCGACGTATGTCGAGAAATGGCCAAGAATAACGACTATGAGAATCCAGAGTCCTGAAATGATGACACAAAGTTTATTCAGCTGGTTTCATCTGGTTATCAGTTGGAAACTCCTCAGGGAGGGGGTGGTGATCGTCAGATCACATGTTCTCCAGGCGACTTCAGATAAGAAGACCTTCAAGTCCAGCCAAGGCGACCAAAATTCAGATAAACACACAGTTGTTTTGGGGACAGGCAGAACTTAATGACATAAACCTTCAGTCTGTGTTTGGTCCACTCGGTTCTGAAATAAATGTCCAAATTAACATGGCCACACCGATGGAATGTGACTGAGTAAAATCCCCAAGATCTGATCCATTCAGCCCAAAGCATTTGAGTCTGGGTAATCCAGACATGAACCAAGCCATCATAAAGGCAAGCAGCGTGATTTTGCTGCTGACGACTTCCTTAATTGTAGATAAAACCAGCACCAGCTGAATCCAAAAAGTAGGAACCAGTTATTGTAAATCCAATTAAATATGCGTCCTTAAAATCCACAGATGGCAGCAGAGATAGACACATCATCAAGTTTTCCAGATGATGAGATATCCAGCTGCGTACGTGCCAACAGGGTAAATCGTCTCGCCCAAAGCCTGTCTTCTCTTCGAAGAAATGTTGTAAATTGAGTTGAGGGACCAACAGGTCAAAACAAGTCCATAATTATGGTTCGGAAGAAATGCAAGCGAGACTCACAGCAGTTTCACAGACAGACAGAGCAGCAAAGCAAAGCGGAGAGGGAGGGAGGGAGAGAAGCATCCGATCTCGTGGGGAGCGAGTGGTGAAGTGATGTGATTTAATGCATGTTTGTTTGATCCACGCCTGTTCTGTGTTTTCGTCAGTCACAGGTTACAACCATCACTCAGTGTGTACATGGACACCCCAAACGCCTCTTTAGTTTTTCCTGCAGTATTTGTGTTCCCTTACAACCAACTTAGCCTTTATTTCTTGTGTGATCACTTGTGTTTGACCTCAGTATGTTTTTGTGTTTTTTTTCTGTTTTAGTTTTCTGTTCTTCTGTTAAACTGAACCTCAGCTCAGTTTGTTGCATGTGGCATTTTTGACAGTCTTCTACTCGTTAACAAGATTTCTGAACCTTTTTTTTTATCTAAAAATATATGATCCACATCTTCTCCTATAAGTTCACATTCATTACCAAATTTCTTTCTTTAGGTATTGAATTACTTTTGTTTGTCAAAGATCTTTGTTTTTCTTTTAGACACCATTATACCTGCTGCCAAATTCAGATTAATACCCTAAATATTGCAGATTTAATGTATTGCCAAAAGCCAAGTGCGGTTGATATTTCTGAAAAGGCTATTATTAATTTAGATGTCAAAGTCTGAATCTTACTGATATTGATGACCTGGATTTTGTCAGATCAATTTGAAGTGTTGTTGAATATTTGTTTCATTTAAAGAACGAACTTTGACTCAAAGTGTTAATTATGGGGCTTTGCTGCAAACAGGAAAATCTAATTTGTTGTAAATGCATTAATTTTTTTTTTCATTCATAAAAAGTAGAGACAAAAAATATTTTCGTAATTTTCTAAAACAATATTATAATTGTGTGGGGAAACAACTGATCCAATCAGTTGAACTGAAACAATGAAACTCTGAGTAAAATCAAATCACACAAAAATTAAATGCTTTTCATTTCAAACACCATATCCAGAATAATTTCTGGCTGTTTGCTTAAATTAAACAGATTGAATGTCAGGAAAACAACCCATAGTACCAATAATTTTTTATTTTTTTAGCCTCCATTATAAATTAACTTTTTTTTTTGTGGTAAATCTTCCACTGCAGTCAAAGTAAATAACAGTAAATAAACAAGAATGGACGTGTAAATAAAGGTTATAATGACAAGAAGAATATCATTTTTGCTGCCTGAAATTTTCCAGATGTGATGTTGGTTATGGCGATGAGTGTTTTTTTGTTTGTTTGTGTTTCCCATAAGCTGAAAGCGCTCGTTACGTTGGGTCAGTACACAGCCTGACCCGTCTCATTGTTTTGTCACCTACAATTTAACTGAGTGTAACATTTTCTCCAACACAATCCAAATAGCCCAAGTGTGCTGTTAACACTAAGTGACCTCTTGATGTGATGCTGCAGACGGGTTCACGGGCAGGGTCAGACCATCACAGCTCTAATTGACAAGATTTGTGTTAATTGTGATCAGTGGCTGCAGCAAACACGACTTCTCACCTCTGCAGTTGTAATGTGAGCTTTTCATGACATTAATGACCTGTTGATTGATAAATATGTCAACAGGTAATCCCTCCCAGTCCACTTCACTGCACTATATGAACCCGTACCAGCTGAACGCCTACGCCATGGCCCTGAAGGCTGTGGGCGAGATCATTCAAGACTACGACAGCGACAAGATGTTTCCAGCTTTAGGCTTCGGAGCCAAACTTCCTCCAGATGGACGAGTGTCCCACGAGTTCCCACTGGTGAATTTCATTACTGCCATTGATAATTAAAGCATATTAATTGTCCACTTCCAAAACATTTCAGATATATTTGTAATTGTTGGTTACATTTTAATGTTTTAATTTTCTTTACATTTATGGATCTTCTTAAAAATGTTGCCCAGAAGGATAAAATAGCTTTTTCATTTCCATAATTTTCAGAATGGAAACATGGAAAATCCTTATTGTAATGGCATTGAAGGCATCTTAGAGGCGTACCATCAAAGTCTGAAGACAGTACAGTTATACGGGCCAACCAACTTCGCTCCTATAGTGAACCACGTTGCCAGGTGAGGAACAATTTCTGCTTTTACACAAACTAATTTTTTTTTTTTTTTTTTTAATCAGGAAACTTATAAATAGGCTTTAAGCTAAACACAAATATTTTCTCCCTTACCTTTTCCCAAAGATCTGCTGTATTAGTTAAAAGTGACTGTTTCATAGAATGGATTCATACTTTTAAAACAATGATTACAAATCATTGCTGTGAAAAAAATGTATTTTATAATTAAGGCTGGGGCTGATAAACTCATATAGATGTGACATCAGACATCACAGACATCTACACCTCTAGATGCAAGAAGAGGGCCACCTGCATCATGAAAGACTCCACCCACCCAGCACACACACTTTTTGCCCTGCTCCCTTCTGGAAGGAGGTTAAGGAGCATTAAGTGTAGAACCACTAGACTGAGGAACAACTTCTACCCAGAAGCTGTTAGACTCATGAATCTCTAACCAGAATAATCACTGTGAAAAATCACATCTTGCAGCTGCTGATCTGTTTCATGTTGCTGCTGATCTGTTTCATGTAGCTGCTGATCTGTTTTATGTAGCTGCTGATCTGTTTCATGTTGCTGCTGATCTGTTTCATGTTGCTGCTGATCTGTTTCATGTAGCTGCTGATCTGTTTCATGTTGCTGTGTTCATTCGTACTCATCTGCTCACACAGACTCATGTTCGTGCTGCTGTTAAGCGTATTGTTTTTATGATATTAGTGCTTACTGTATTTTTAGTTAATGTTTTTCTTAGTTCATATCTTAGATCTGGAGAGTCAAGATGGCGCTAGTGTGTGTGGCTTGCCGTCTCTCACTTTTTGTGTTAGTGCTGTTTTTTTTTTATGTTTCTTTGTGTATGCTTTGTATGCTTTTATTGTCTTAATCTATTTGTTTTGTCTTATTGTACAGCACTTTGACTACCCCTGCAGTTTTTAAAATGTGCTATAGAAATAAAGTTGACTGATTGATTGATCTTATTACTGTTTTTCTTTTACGTTTTATTGTTGGATGTAACTGGGACCGTGTGTACATAATTTTGTTCCACCACATGTACTACATGTGTTGCGAATGACAATAAAGAAACTCAGACTCTGATATTTTAAAACATGACTTTTTTCAGTTGATGATAGATTAGTTTTTAAATTGTTTAGTCTGATTAATAGATGTATGTTATTGAGGCACTTTATTGAACTTAAAATGTAAAAATGAGCTTTACCAGAACAATTTTTTTATTGGAACTCTAATTTGAGTCATGAATTAATCTTTCACGTTTGTTTAGTCCGTAAATCTTCTTATTTTGTTTTTTTTAAGAAAGAGGCTTCATCATCATCACGTGTCTGACTGTATTCCTGTGTGCAGATATGCAGCAGCAGTGCAGGATGGCTCCCAGTACTTCATCCTCCTCATCATCACTGACGGCGTCATTTCAGACATGGCCCAGACCAAAGAAGCTATTGTTAATGTAAGGAAGGGAGAAAGTTTTTCTGCTTTACAGAGTAATTATTTCTTGTTTTATTTGTAAAAATGTAAAACTCCTCAAATCAAAGGTGTTTTGTGGTGGAGGGATTACACATATATAGAACCCCAAAAAGTAATAATGAGTAAACTAAAGATAATTTCCAATAATATTACATTAAAGAGCAGTTGTTAAACCTTGGAGCTAAACATTGCTACAGCAGCATCACTCACTGGATTTTGAATTGAGCCAGTATCTCACTGTGCTGCAGCTGGTGGTGACAAGTTGGCAAACCTTTTTCTTAAGGAAGTCTCCAAACTGTCTCAAAACCTTTGTGAGAGCTCTCAATTTTCACATGTTAGAGGTTTGCTGTCTCATTACTTAAATTTTAAACCATCCATCCATCCATTTTCTTCCGCTTATCTGTGGTCGGGTCGCGGGGGTAGCAGCTTAAGTAGGGAGACCCAGACTTCCCTCTCCCCAGCCACTTGGGGGAATCCCAAGGCGTTCCCAGGTCAGCCGAGAAACATAATCCCTCCAGCGTGTCCTGGGTCTTCCTCTGGGTCTCCACCCGGTGGGATGTGCCCGGAACACCTCACCAGGGAGGCGTCCAGGAGGCATCCTAAACAGATGCACAGGCCACCTCAACTGGCTCCTCTCGATGTGAAGAAGCACCGGCTCTACTCTGAGTCCCTTCCGGATGACTGAGCTTCTCACCCTATCTCTGAGGGAGAGCCCAGACACCAAGTGGAGAAAACTAATTTCTGCCACCTGTATCCGTGATCGCGTTCTTTCGATCACAATCCAAAGCTCATGACCATAGATGAGGGTAGGAATGTAGATCGGCCAGTAAATTGAGATCTTCGCCTTTTGACTCAGCTCTCTCTTCACCACGACAGACCTGTACTGCACCCGCTTCACTGCCGACGCTGCACCTATCCACCTATCGATCTCACGCTCCATTTTCCCCTCATTCGTGAACAAGACACCAAGATACTTGAACTCCTCCATTTGGGGTAGGACCTCCTCCCCGACCCGGAGAGGGCACTCCCCCTTTTTGGCTCAAGACCATGGCCTCGGATTTGGAGGAACTGATCCTCATCCTGGCCATGTCACACTCGGCTGCGAATCGCTCCAGCGAAAGCTGTAGATCACGACTTGATGAAGCCAATAGGACAACATCATCTGCAAAAAAGAGAGAAGCGATCCTAAGGCCAACAAAACTGAACCGCTCAACGCCTTGGCTGCACCTAGAAATTCTGTCCATAAAAGTTATGAATAGAATCGGTGGTGAAAAAGGAGGTGGTGGAGTCTAACTCTCACTGGGAACGAGCCTGACTTACTGCCGGCAATGCGGACCAGGCTCTGACACCGGTCATACAGGGACCTAACAGCCCGTATCAAAGGACCTGGTACCCCATACTCCTGGAGTACCCCCCACAGGGCTCCCACAGGGCTCCCACAGGGCTCCCCAAGGGATGTGGTCAAATGCCTTCTCCAAGTCCACAAAGCACATGTAGACTGGTTGGGCAAACTCCCACGCACCCTCCAGGACCCTGCTGAGGGTGTAGAGCTGGTCCAGTGTTCCACGACCAGGACGAAAACCGCACTGCTCCTCCTGAATCTGAGGATCGACTATCCGACGGACCCTCCTCTCCAGAACCCCTGAATAGACCTTACTAGGGAAGCTTAAGAGCATGATCCCCTTTTAGTTGGAACGCACTCTACGGTCCCCCTTTTTGAATATGGGGACCACCACCCCAGTCTGCCAGTCATGGGGAACTGCCCCCGATGTCCACGCAATATTGCAGAGTCGTGTAAGCCAACACAACCCCCACAACATCCAGAGCCTTAAGGAACTCCGGGCAAATCTCATCCACCCCGAGGCCCTGCCACTGAAGAGCTTTTTAACCACCTCTATGACCTCAGCACCAGAGATTGGAGAGCCCAACCCAAAGTCCTCAGGCTCTGCTTCCTCAGTGGAAGACGTGCCGTGGGATTGAGGAGGTCTTCAAAGTATTCTGCCCACCGACCCACAACATCCCGAGATGAGGTCAGCAGCATACCACCTCCACTATAAATAGTGTTGGTGGCATACCGCTCTACCCCCCGAGACGCCGGATGGTAGAGCAGAATTGCCTCGGAGCCATACGGAAGTCATTCTCCATGGCCTCTACAAACTCTTCCCATGCCCGAGTTTTGCCTTAGCAATCACCCAAGCCGCATGCCGCTTGGACTGCCTTTACCCATCAACTGCTTCCGGGGTCCCACAGGCCAAAAAGGCCCGATAGGACTCCTTTTTCAGCCTGACAGCTTGTGTCCACCACCAGGTTCGAGGGTTACCGCCGCAACAGGCACTGACAACTTTGTGGCCACAGCTCCGATAAGCCGCCTCGACAATAGAGGCACGGAACTTGGCCCTGAACATGGTGTTCGTTGTGGACAATCCATGACGAGCACAGAAGTCCAACAACAGAACACACTCGGGTTCAGACCAGGGGGGCCATTCCTCCCAACCACACCCCTCCAGGTCTCACTATCATTGCCCACATGAACCAATTGAAAATAAATCGAGCTCCATGTTTTCCCTCTGAATATTTGTAGAGTTGTTGCAGGCCTCTCAAACCTTTCTGAAAGTAGTTTTCATATTTCTAGAGAACTAGAGCAGTATTTTGAAACCTGCACAAGAGCCTTTCATGCCAGAACGAGTTTAAGACTGCAGCCCTGAATGTCCAGGTCTGATCATTTTGTAGATAAACAATACTTATATATTTTTAAAAATGGTCCAAATTTTTTATCTTCATGTATAAAGTAAACTATAATATATTAAATCATAAACATGGCTGTGATGGCTATGGTGGGTACAGTGGGGGGTGGGGGGTACAGTGGGGAGAGCTGGACAATGAAATAATGCGCATACAATTTTGCTTGCCCTGAATGTGAAAACTGGTCGTAATGTTCAAAAATAGGCCACTTCACTGGTCACAAACACCCAGAATTCAGAGCGACTGTGTCTGAAATTCTGCCTGTTTTGTTACAGTTTTCTGTCAGTTTTAATTTGCCAACCTGCCTCCAACACTTACAGCCCAGTTAGACGAGCTAACTCGGAGCGCACGGTGGATGTGACAGCTAATCTAATAAAATGCACAAATCAGTACAGCATAACATTCAATCAGAAGTTAGCCAACTCCATTTGGCAGTAATGGGCCTATAATTTAGAAAATTACCTTCATGTTCGATAGAAGAATTTAAACTAGTGATTAAGATCAGAAAATTGGGCTTCACTGAAACAGCAAACCAAATGGGAAGTTGATTATTTTTGTTTGTTTGTTTGTTTGTTTGATCAGCGTTTCTTTTTCCAACAAGAGTCACCCCTTGCTTGTCATTAAGAACGATATATATATATATATATATATATATAT